AGACTTTCATCAGTTTGAGCACTATTCTTTAATATTTTTAAATGGAGATGTCTTCTAAAATCCTTACTAGATATTAGCATATCAGCACCGAATAGATTAAAGGACATATCTGCAAACACGATCGAGAGTAGATCGTTAAAAGTGGTATGGCAACGGCCGAAAATTGCAAATTCTGTCACACTAACAAGATATTTGTTGAGTTATCGATCAATATCAAGGAATAATATCGGCAATTTAACGATGATCAACGTTGAAAGAGATACAAATTACACGAGAATAAATAATCTTAGACCATATACATCTTATGAAATATATGTATCATACTTTGTTTACTCAAGGTATAGTGGCGAGTTACCGAGTAAAGCTTCGAAATCAGTTATAATTCAAACAAAACAAGACGCTCCCGAATCACCACCGATCATTGATTCAGTGAAAGAATTATCGTCAGGAATGATATCTGTTACTTGGAATGTTCCAAAACTAGCTAATGGTATTATAACCTTGTATAAGATTAAGTACAAAAGCGAAAGCGAAACTATTTGGAATAAGGAGTCGACGAAACTGAATCATATCGCTTTAAGGAATATCGCCCCGGAGGAATTTTATGAATTCAGTATAGCTGCTGTAACTACTGCTGGAGTAGGTCCCTATAGCACAATTAAGATTTTTTTGAATAAGACAGGTGAGTAAAACTTTTTAGGATCGCTTTCCCCTCTTTATTCTTAAAAGAGAATTTTTTTAATTTAGAAGTGCCGTCATTCGGTCTAATTGTAACTCGCCCAGTATCCACCGCCAGCTCAGAAGCAGTCACCAAGAAAAATATATTTCAGGAATCCTTAGTAATCGTCGGTATTGTATGTGGTGGAATATGTGGAATAATTTTATTGGTTATCATCACCTTATGTACGATTCAAAGGTAACTAAATTGCTAATATTTTGCTGTATATAGCAACCCACGTTGCGTAAAATCTAATAATTTCACACTTATTTTTTATTTATAGGTTTAAGTGTGTTGAATTGCCGGTCAAAAAAGTTACCAACATAGAATCAGTTACAATAAAGAAACATGATGGTATAACTGCGAATTCTCAAAATTTTCAATCTCGATACCCTACTGCGAAAGTTAATAAATTACAGAGATGTAAATCAGAAGGGATTAATAGTTTACAGTCTGGTAATCGTTCCGAACCTTTGAAAGATAGCCAATGTAAAGAAAGCGAAAGGTAGTCTTCAGATACATTTGCGGATATACGGCACGCTATAATCATAACTAAGCTTTAAATCTATTTTAATAGAACGGAAAAAAAAGAGACAACTGCAGCCCTAAAATCCGATGATCCTAATAAAAGTGTATCTAATAGTGACATTACAATTCATCGAAATAATCTTTCATCGTAAATGGAAATTTTGTCCTGGTATTCCATATCTTTATAATATGACTAAGCCAGTTTTGGACTTACTGCATTATTTAAGTAAAATGTTATTCCATAGCTGAAACTTATAAAATTTAAGATTTTAGTATATCCTTGTACTATTCGACCTTATTTTGATTCAATGTAAAGTATTTGAGTACATTGATGGAAATTATTACAATTGAAATATATTGAATTCCATCGAGATAGCAGCTGCTTTTAATACAGTATATATTTGATGAAATCTATGTATATCACTAAACAGCTCTTGAGGACGAATTGTCGGTGAACTAAAGTAATGTAAATTGAGTTCTTGTATAAAAGATTAAGCCGACATACTAACGATGATGCTAGTTAATGCACTTTCCTCTTCATAAAATACAGCTACAATTACATTTAGTTCTGATATTTTACTTCTGCGATCATCACTTTTATTAGTTTTATAACTAGTTTAACTTTATATAAATCTTTTAATCCATGTACAGTAGAAACTGAAGGTTTTAAGATTCGAAAGCACTCGAATCTGTTCTATTACAATTATTTAAATTATATTCTAATATATTGCATATATTATATGAATATATAAAAATATATATATGTATATGTATATACGGGCCTATGCGCATATTATTATTATATACTGTACTATTATTCACCTAATCGATTTTTTTATCTGTTAAATTTACGGTACGGTATACATATTCTGTATGAAATATGATCTCAACGTCGTAATCATTTCACAAAAAGATACTAATTTAACATTAATTTATATCGTCATTATGATCTAGAGTTCAGCTATTGTCTTTTCTGTAATTAAAACAACCATCTGCATCACCAAATACGGTGTGGTGGTGAGGTATAATAATTTATTTGCAATTTTTATTAATCTAAAATCCTTAAGTCATATTTATTGTCATCCTATTAAAAGATATGTTGAATGAATTACACGAAAATTCCGTAAAATCAATGTTCTATTTAATGATTAATATTCATTGTTAGATTAATTATATATCATTGAACTACACAATTAACGTTATGAAAACTTGTATTTGCGTTGATCCTCTAAATAAATCGAAATTATTAGATTCAATCAATTTCGACGGTGTATTAGATCGTTATAAAATATGTCAAATAAACCCGTGGCAATGTCTTAAGATCCTTGAAATGTACAATTGTGCCCACGAATGAGCGTACAGCTTGAGAGTATTTGTTAATACATAATAATTTTCAGTCTACTAATGTGAATATTACCGATAATTTTTATTGATTAATTCAGGTCTAAATGATTACAGTAGTACTTACGGTCATCCATTTTAGTCAGGATTTGTATAACCTCAATGAGACTATAGAGGTAAAAGAAAATACTTTTTCTTTTGACTGTATGAATGAAACTTTTAAGATTATAGTATTGTACACATTGAGCGATGTAGGCCTCAGTATTTAGGAATATAAAGACTTCACGTTTCCTCCTCCAAAAAAGAAATTGTAAACGAGTTGAGATACTCTGAGATTGAGACCTAGAACTTTTGCAATTGCTCCGAAATTCTCATAATACTACAAGTTATATTATAAAATTTATAGAAAAGTATCGCTCAATACTACTAAATGCACAAGGTCATTAATTCTCTTGTTCAAAGAATGATGATAGCAATTAATGAATTTACATTCAAAATAGTTGAGCAAAATGAACAAGTGTGATGTTGTAAATGACGAATGAGTAGTAGTAAACTTTTATATTCAAATAAGCCAGAGTTTCAAATTTCTTATACGATCTTCCTGGAGAGCATATTTATAGAAGGAATTAGGCTGGTAAAATAGAAGGTACATATATATTTGAATTGCTGATCACCTATTATAATATCAATATCTGCATGGATTTAGACTGTTTATAACACTAAAATAAGCGAAAAAAATTTATGATATTAGTATTATTTTAAGGTAATAAGTCATTAAATCCGATAAAACTATCCGACTCTTCTTAAAATTTGATTTTCGTTGTACTGTAAGCAACTTAATTTAAAACTGTATCGATGAGTAAATAGAGTATTTCTAATACTCCGATAATAGTCTAGCCAGTATCACACCCTTATATCCTACTAAGGGTTAAAATTAACCACGTTCATCATCCTTTTCCTGCTGAAAGAAATCAATCCTAAAATGTACACGATGCATTTGTAACGTTCTTTCAAACTCAAGCTCTCTATGGAGTATTTACACACGTACCCCAATAATGAAACGTAAGTAGACGTTAACACTGAAGTCTCGATAACATTCATATTTTGCATCTGACTAATTCTTTAGCTTCTTATGAAGCACTACTACGCAGTAATCATCATTTGTTTAAATTCCTTATTTGTAGATCTTATAGTCATGGAGCATTTAAAGCCCGAAGGATCTAACGAAAATGTTAACTCTTACGATCCGTAATCTAGAATTGATATATAATAATATAATTATTGTACTGACAATATTCTCCTAGTTAACATATGTAACATTGTAGTATGCGTCAGAAGATATCAAAAACACAGATAAACTGTCAATTGAAACTGTGTAAAGTGTATTTCTTCAACTAAATTAAGTTGCGAAATAAACTGCATCGGGGTTTATATCACCATTTGTATTAAAACAAGAGTATTATTTAAAATTTTAGTAATACTACGTATTGACATTAATTAAGCAAATATCTTGAGAATCTTCCCATAACCAATTTAGCATTACAAGTAGTTACCCCATTTAAATTAATTTTTACGGGCACTGTCATCAAGGTCAAATTTCTATAGTTATTAAAATATACAGTCTTGCAATTAAAGTGTCACAATCAATAACGATCTTACGGTTGCCACGATCTGACTATTAAATAAACTTCATATGATTTACTAAATCACATGAATAACGGCAGGTAAATAGTACTATAGATCAACATGCAGTAGAAGCAATTAGAATGATATTTTTAAATTATTATTGTCGTGTATGAAGTATCATCATGGGCCAGTATGGTGAAGAATATGACAGATACAATAAGCAAGCAAATACAGATCAGACTAAAAGTCAATGTATAAGCATAATTTTCTGACATAGATTTAATATAGTAAAGATGATTATATATATTTTATTGATCACCGGTGAATATTCTATTTCATTAATATGATGTGAATTCGTATACTGCGCTACTAAATTATTATGAAAATCGTTCTATGCGCATGAGTACAGGAGATTATCGAACATTTCTTATCACAACTTGTGTCCCATACAGTAAATTAATTCCCATCCTGTATACTGCATAGTTCTTCAAACTCCTTGCTTTCTAGAGCTAGTTCCGATACAATTTCCCGAAACCTAACGGCGAATATTACAAAATTAGGAGATTTAACCATGATCTTACGACTGTTCAAAGTATTGAATATTTATTTTAAGTGCAAAAAGCGACTTAATGCGGAATCCGTCTAAAGTATCGTACTACCTGTACTGCTTAATATTTACGTACCGATTATAAGGGCATTCTGTAGAACCGCCACAGTTATTGATTACCAAATCCTTCAAATATCACAATAAATAGTATAAAGTAATTTGACTATGAAAGTTATTCCAGTTTATCATAGCATAACTAATACTCATGAATACATAAGAATACTTATAAATAACCTGATTTTCGAATTTCACTTTAACATAGTGTTTTCCACTCTATCAAGAATTAAAGCATAGTTGAATCAATTGCAATGATTCAGCGCCTCAGATACTCAGAAAGATATCTGATCTTCGCTAACAATGATCAGTAATGGAAATACTGTACTCACAAATGTGCGATAGAGCTCAAACACCAAAAACGAGGCAAATGGTGGCCATGCATTTGGTAACTTTCCAGTCACCGCAGCCGATAATACGATTAATGAGGTATCATGAGCAGAATAAAGACATAGTCTAGTAGGGCTATTACGAAAGCATGTAATTAACATGATTGGTAAATCCATAATTCTAAATTAAGTTACGAGAAAGTATAAAATTTTTCAACGTAGACGACATGAAACTAACTCTCCACCTTTGATTGTTTACTACAGCATCCATTCTTTTTAGAATATCATCCATAAATCTTCCGCTGGAGACTTTCAGTAATACACTATAATCCGTAAAATTCAAAAGTTGCATAAAAAAATTAGAGATATACCTTCACAAATCACTATTTTCACATAAATTTATTGCCTCTTGTAAACTACACGTATATTACATTTAGTCATACAGTCTTATGTTAATCCTTTATTATGCTAAATTCTATGGCACTGATGTGTGACATTCGGCTAACGATACCGTGTGCTACATACGAGTACGAATATACTGTGAAAACTGCTAGCGGTCTATTACTTTTCACTGAATAAGCTACATAACGCTTTGTAGCCAATTTCTTTAATTTGGCTGTAGTGATCAATAAGGACATCCGGTAATGCCATACCATGAGCCTAATTGTAAGTATAAAATTTTAAAATCCTTATATTCTAAAAACTTCTTGGCTGCGTATAGCTCTACATTATCAATATCAACTTTAATATGCTACATGTTAAAACCGGTATTTTAGATACACTATATCTATGCTTTAAAAAGTCACCCTCCTACTCTCTAAATCATCTAATATATCAATATGATTCTTAGCCAAAAGTTTATTTTCATAGAGACTCTTCATGTCATCAATTTGAAGGACGTCATGAAAGATTCTACGACCTGCTGACTCAAACTCATTATGTTTGTGTACAGCTCTATAAAATTTTTTCATAAGTGGACAAGAGCCAACGTTTGGGTAAAGAAATTCATTTTTAGATTCAGTTGTATGTAGGATAATTGGATCATCTGCAACAGAAGTGATAGCTTTTATTGCTTTCGAATTTTTTAATTTTGTATTTGCTATTAGTATGAAATTAGTCTGATAGCTGACGTTTAAATAGTAGGCATTATAAATAATATTTAATGGCAGCCTAGAAGGCAAAGAAAATTTAAAGTAATTATACGTTATCATTAATGCCCCTACTTCGTGTTTGTAGAGCATTATGGTAATAAAGAAGCAATTATGGCTATTATACAGTTTAGGCTTAGGGTTTTACTGCTAACATATCTGACAAAGTCATAAATTATATCTTCAGAATTATAAATAATCAAATGATACCAATTATGCAATAATAGATATTGCATGATAGACATGATTATTAAAGCTTAAATGGAGATTAGCTGACCTTTTGATCTTTCAGTTAGCTCACTGTATAAGCCTACCATAAAGCATTTGGCAGAGTTGATGGATCGCAAGATATTGGAGGTCCTTATACTATTTAGATAACATTTGGTGATATTATAATTAGCACCGCATTTGGAAGATTTTCAAGTTAAACTAAAAATTTCCGGCGCAGAAATACCGGTAATAGTAATATAAATTTTAATTGAAGTTACTATATTCTGATTATAATTAAAGCTTTACGATGTTAACAGGTGTATGCGATGATTACCAAAATACGTATAAATTGTTAAAGCGTCTACATACAGCGCTATCAATCAAGTTAATGGTGTGCCTCTGAGTGCTCAGTTCGTTTATTCTTATAAAACATTCAACATAATGATGATTATAATATGTAACGCCGACTAGATCAACTAACTTAAAAATCATAAGTAGCAAAGAACTTCTATACTGGTACATGTATGAAAGGTATTTAATAGCCTTATGGGCGAATTTTCCGTCGCGAGGCGTCGATATTAGAAATCCGGTCTATTTTATAAAAATTGGTACTTTGTCTATGACATTACCACCAAGCTAACTAACGTTATTTAAGTTGTTATACTGTACATGGATGCATCTGTCGAATGTCAATATTTTCCGCAAATCTACTGCCAGAAGTACTGTACAGTATATCATTATTTTCATGTATTCCAACGTACTGTATTATAATAGATATTTGAGTACTGTGTTGTTAAAGCTGATAGAAATTAATCAACTTCAATGCACACTATTGCACGCTGCTAAGTTTCGGCACTGTCCAATTTTCTGCAGCATATCAAAGGTAGTTTCGATAGAGTGAGAATACATGATACTCGTACAGTACCAGAAAAGTTAATGGTATATAAGCAATTACTAGATGCTATCCGCCTGGAATGATGGCTCAAGAAGGTTAAATTGATCAATATAACGTTCCCGCAATCGCTTTCCTAATTGGACCATTTGTTCCTGTCCTAGAATAGTTAGTTGCCCACCTGGACATCCACCCTATTTGAGCATTAAGTCAGCATGTTTATACAATATCTGATGCGAGCTAACGAGGTATTATGCAGAGCAACATACGTACTTTTAGTACTTTGTCCTTGTTGTATGCTAGATCAAAATTTAACGGAGGCTGCGGACCGCCATCAAGGCTGACAACTTTGTGAGGGCAATCGGCGTGTGGTAACGTTTGTAAGAGTATACTACTATCCCAGTTTGCCTGCTCGCAATTGGGAGTAGTCGCTACAGGCGTTCTACTGCCATGGCGAATTACAACCGAAGCCATAACCAATTTCTCGTGGCCAGGATAGCGCCCTAGTTGCCTTCTGCCGTTTCTAGATGGATTGAAGTTCTCATTTCGATTCTTCTTTTTATTATTATTAGCAATAACATAGAAAGAAATAGCTGCCCCGATGGCAGCATTCAATCGAGCTATCATAATACTGGATTCTGCTGTTGGTTAATTAATCTATTCTCCAGCGACGACAGTCAATTTTGCAGGAATGGGATTACCTAATAGCGATTAGGAATAGAATCGTAGATTCCGCTAACTCAGCACCGATAATGGCCAATGCTACAAGAATACTGTTATGATAGTAGTTAGTTATTCTTCGAATTTCTAGTACTGTTCCAGTACAGGTACTGTACAATTATTCAATAGAGAGCTTACTTTGTACAGTACTATACTGTACTATACGCATTCACAGACTACTCAATTTACCGGTAAATTGGAGTACTGTAGTCCATGGCATTGGACTACAGTACTCAAGTAAAAACGTGACCCTTTTTCTACAAATCCCCCTCCTCTGTCTCCCTCTCTCTTACTAAATAATTCTGGATTATACAGTAAAGTAAGAGAGAGAGAAGTAGATGGTAGAAAAATGGGGTTATATTTCATTTTATTTGAATACTGCAGTCCCTATCCATGCTACACAAGATTCATCATGGTAGTGTTGACTGTTCAGTACGCACAGTCAAGAAAGAATCATGCATCATAACTGAGCATGCTTGAAAGCTCCATAATAATGGTAGTGTTGACTGTTCAGTACGCACAGTCCAAGAAAGAATCATGTATCATAACTGAGCATGCTTGAAAGCTCAATAATACAATGCACATACGATAATAATATGGGAATATTAATAACAATAATACAAATTATTTCATTAAAAATTCAAAACTTAACACCCATAATTGAAGGGATTATTGACTTGTATATAATACAGCTTTGAACATCTGAAACTCATACTTACCTGACGCGGGGGTAACGCTGATCAAGAAGGGTGTTCCCCCAGGGTGAGGCCTTTCCATTGCACTTCGGTTAGGCTGACCCCTGCGATCTCCCCAAATAGGGGAGACTCGAGCGTACAATTTCTGGTAGTGGGGGACTTGCGTTCGCGCGGTCCCCCGTCCTAATTAATAAGAAAGATACCAATACTAGAACTAAGTGGGAAGCACAGATGATCTGGGCTCAGCTTTCACATCCGATCGCATTTCACATTATCATAAAGTACAGTACTGTACAGTATTATGAATAGTGTTGCAAATATTCGCTATTAGTTTTATTTTATTCAAACATTCCTTCCATTTTGGTAAATTTCACTACTTTTAGTACAGTACTGCACATTAATTGTAGCATATCATCAATGCTTTTCTATTCCATTGCCCATGCTATACCCAAATTATACGAATACACAATCATAAACTCTTTCTTTCTAATAGGACTTCAGTTTATCATCTGCTGTTGTTGCCATTATCATGATACTGTACAATAGCTCGTAATTGCTAAACCCTGCCCACCGATTAAAAACTACACGTATATTTGAAGACTTGCATGATGCCAAATTAATTTAAATTGTTTTACAATACCTATTGGCTAAAGTCAAAAAGAAAATAGCTCTCATCCATAAATGATAGTGTAAATTAAATTTTTATGTAATTCAAGATTTACAATGCAGTACAGTATATAGAATATAGAATATACACAGAAGGCAATTTAGCATAGTTTTCGGATTACAATGCAAAAAATTTCGATTAGAAAATCCTTGCCAATCAAGTCTACAGTAGTCATTGGTGGAGAAGTTCTTAGCATAATAAATGCGGTGCGAAGCACGCAATCTGATTATCCAAATAAAATTTGAATTTAATACGTCATGTTACCATACCATTGCTCTCTTACTGAAAATTTGACATAAAAGTTTTACTGTAGTACAAATAATAAGCTCACACTGATAAATTGTAGGGAACATTATAACAGCTTTCCTTAATTGCAATGCTATGAAAATATACAGATATAGTATTTCAAATGGCTATATAGAAATAAAGTCACACAACTTAGAACCCTTATTCCAATTAATTCTAAATTCTTTACAAAGAAAAGTATACATTCTTTCATGAAATAATTATAAATTTGCCAGTAATCTTGTTTAGACGATCGTCTCAGTTTTCTGGTCATCATTATAGACAGATTTTGTTTTCCTTCTTCCACTTTGAGGGCTAAAATTATTATATTACAGAACAGAGCTATTAGCTATACAGAATTATCAATATAGATATATACTTACTAACTAGTCTATGATACTTAAGCTACATTATTTAACGACCTACCTACTGGACAATATTGTTTTACTATCGATAATGCCAAAGTTATGGACATCTACAACTATCTCCTTCATAGATGTGGATGTCGAAGAGTCCTTATTAAGGGCTTCATTCGTTCGACAGTTATCCGCATTTTTAAATACGTGAAGATCTTCCATAAGGCTTTCCTGTAAAATTTCGGGAATTAAAATTGCAATTTTCCACCAAAAATAACAGGTACTTACTGCTAGTTATGATAAATTCCAAAACAATTATTCTAACGGTCTCATACTTACCTGTCCATTGAAAGACTTATCTAATCTATCACTTGTTACAGTATCATCAGCAAGTGACTTTCGTGGACGCAACAACCTTCTCTTTTGCTGCGATTTTGCAACTAAATAAAAATCCACTAATGGTTAACCCGTTGATTTATACTACATTTCTTTATAGGTAATAATATCTCAGCTTCTTACCAATTCGTTTCGTAAATACACTACTTTTACAAAAATTAACAAATCTTTCACTGTAAAATCCTGGACTAGTGACTGATACCGCATCCTATAATAGTGCCGTTAGTGAGATTTTATATCATTGATTAGTCGATTAATTACCCTTTCAGTGTTGTAATAAACTTCCAAATAACTACCGTAGTTCAACGATAACATCTCCTACTTACACCATCGTGAAGAATTGATTTATATGTATGCTCTAGTTTCTTAATAAATCTTAAAATTGATAAATTTTGGTTTCTCATTAAATGCAAGTCAGAATAGATTCAGAACTAAGACTAAGATATCATACCTGTAACTTTGAAGTATATCAATTATTCCGATGAATAACATTACGGCTTCTCCAGATGTAGTATATGCGTGAATGCGCCCCAATCTGCATTATCATAGAATACTCTGTTTAATATTCTACTTTAGACTTGTCACAGAAATCGTAATTCTTATTTGAAAAAGACTACAGGCTAACAGATCAAGCTACCTTGCCGTTGCCGTGACCGCATCTATGGAAGAGGCACCACCGGACGCCGATCGTAACCTAGAGTCAGCTTCACTTACGGACCATGATCTTGAAACTTCAGTCAATTTATGTACACCAATTAATAAACTATAATCCATAATCTTAAAACTTCTCAATACCTGCATATATTAATAGAATAGTAAAATTAACCAGACTCGGTCTTTATTGAACAGTACATATAGTAGCAGGTTATGATAACAGCCTTTACCCTAACGTCTCTTTCCAAGGTTCTTGTTAAGGAGTCATATATAGTAGGGTCAACACCGAATCCCTACCCAAACGAACAAAATTAGTGAATGAACTTATTAATGTAAGAAACATGATTAATGCTACATTTAAAATTAATATATAATATCACCTCAGGAAGTTCCGTCTTGAAATCTAAGTCTTTTAAGGTTGGGCATTTTTTTTCTCTTTCATTCTTTGAGGCTTTTCGTTTGTGGGTCGAACCCTGAAATTATACGAAGATTAACTAAAAAAGATACCTAGTATTTGATTGTAACATAGACAGCAGCCTTAGGCGATATCACTATTCAGTCTAACAGTTTCAGGAAATATTCAAATAAATGTGCAAGGCTAACTAGAAATGTTACAATGTACCTTTAAATCGAATTTTACTTGATACTGATAAACTGATGGTAAAAGATTATTCATGACTACGATGCGGATGTTTCTTTGGCCACTACTTGTAGAATAAGAATATAGACCAAAAAACTTCGGAAGGAGAGTCTTTTTATTCTGACTAAAATTCTAAAATAATATGTAATTATTAGCTACAAATTTAGTAAATACTACATTATTGAGTAGTAAAATCGCTAATTTAGTATACAACAACAATAGTTAAAATTCCTACATGTCCGAAAATATTTATTACTCGAGTTAAGTAAGTGATATTATAAAATTTACCAAATAATATCCTGGTAGTAACTCTTGTAAGAACTGGGCTTCTTTTTTTTGTACAGTCTTGATTATGAATCTGTCGTCATTGGTTAAGAAAAATAAGGATCCACTTGCTCCAGGATTGCGTATTTCTTTCAATCGTTTATCACACATGGATATCTTCATTGTAGTACAATATAAAGTGACTTAGGAATATAGCAGCTCTAATTCTCTAACATTGCCCAGAGCTACTGATATAAGTTTACGCTAATCATTTCTTCAATACACTTACCATAAAGTCTTGCGGTTTGATACCAAATAGCTCACGAAAAAATCTAAAATAAACGTAGAGAGAAACTGACCATTATTTTGGAACGATCAAAACTCATGCAATGATATAACTGCATTATTACATGAAATACAGTACGCAGCGTTTTACAAATTACGTAGATAACTCAAATAATATTTCCCAGCTTATACCTGAACGCTATCGGTGCGTATGTTTTAAAGGTAAAATCGGCGTGATGATGTGCGGGAGTTGACGTACTTCCATCTCTGGAACCGATATAGATTAGATGAGTTTCATCTTGCTATTAAAGTAATCTTGCAATAGTATATCATATTTGTTAAGTGGTTCTGGTTTATACGCAAGCAACTAACTATTGCACTGTTAATATTAGGATAGTTAACTATGCATACAATTATAGTCAAAACGGTTCAAAGTTGATCCATCAAAACAATGAGAAAAAGAATAATCTTCCTAAATGTATAATGTATGCAGAATCATCTAATAAAGAAACCTCGGAAAGAAAACCACATCAATATCTTGAAAGTCCTGCATAAGAACATCTCTTTCATGTTTAGAAGACAATTTCCCAACCTACATGATTATTCATAAACCATACAAGTAGATTTCATAAAATGTTAAGGCGTAGGTATACAAGGTTACTAATAGCTGTATTCTTAACCATCATAAGGCATAAATTAATTATGTTATAGATCGTAAAGGAGAAAACCTACTTACCGAGTGCTCTATACCTAATTGCAGCGCTGTAGATATGTCGGACGGAGTCGCCTAATGACAGAAAGCAATAGCATGTAACATAAAAATATGCCGTAGGAAGAGAGCTACAATCAAAGATTGAACAAAGTTATCAAAAGTATATTTCCTGATATTGCTATGCGGGTATAAGTAAAGTCAAATTATATTTGCAAGCAGGGAACCATGTTGTGGTGTACAGATTTGTAGTAGACAGTACTGTACAATGCAGTTCACGCGTTTCATGTAGTGTACAGTATACATTACACTAACTAATCACAATTTTAATTCAGTTATCTACAGCTATTTACTATACTGCCCCTCCTAGTATAATATAACAAACACCCGTATCATTCGCGCATACCCCAATCTACAGTACAATCAATAATCCTATCATATACTTTATGATGGAGCTGTCGTTAAAAGCTATCGCCTTTGAACTAGTGTATTCTCAACGAAGTGACAAACCTTACAATCGGAGAATAATCCAGTACACTATCCTATATCATTGTGACTCGACTTCATACTAATGGTAACATCATTGCCTAACCTTGATGATATTGTATTACTCAATACCGTAGTTCTTAATTGTGGTACTGTTGGGCTGTACTTCCATTAGCTATTAGCAATCAAAATTGATACTGTATCATGAAAAATCTTACATTTTTGTATCTGCGTTGGAGTCCTTCATTATCTGCACGTGGATTCTCATTTTCCATACTAAATTAACAGCGGATCGCTACCGTAACGGATCTTTCCTTTCTGCTGATGGTGGCAATGCCAAGTGTAACTATAATAAATCACACTTGGCAAACATGAAACGAAGCGTGCAAGACGACAGTTCTCGATACTATCGGTAGGATATCTTTCCGCAAAAGGTATCCCTTTAAAGGCACCCTTGGCTAATCATCAATAAATGTGCATACTCATACTGTACTTAGTACAGTCTATCCCTACAGTACCGACATTGCCGTGATAATGTGAGAAAAGTTGTACAGTACTGTAGAGAGGCAAAGCATACTTACAGTACAGTATTTAGAAGCTCTACAGTACAGAATCGACAGTACAGTACTGTAGATTGCGTACTGTAGTTTGTGCAGTATTAAAAAATGATGTCACCATTGCTGTGCACTAATTACCAGTGTACTGTACAGTACTGTGCACTGTACACTGTAGAGTCGTCTCCGTCCCAAAATGTGACACTAAAGCCATCACTCTTATCCCCTATTCCTTCAATTTTTGGAAAAGAAGTCATTTTGAGTATGATTTTACTAAAGTAGAGGTAAAAGATAAGATATATTTTTCTTATACTACTGCCTCTAGAGATCTTTATTCTTATTTTCTTACAGCATCATTATTTAGTGCTGTAGACAGTCAGCCTGTAGTCCATTGGAATCACCGCCTTTTAATTTGTGCGCATTGCTCTACTGTACCATAATTACAGTACAGTACAGTATGTGTACTGTGACCGTACAGTATAATGTACTGTATCATCTTTGAAGCTACTTTATTTACGCTGAGTACTGTACTGTACTGTACAGTGTACAGTATCTGAGTAATCGGGGTTATTACAGTATGGCTGGGCCTACCGGTACAGTACAGAACAGTACAGTAGACTGCACACTGTGGACTGTACATTGTAGACTGTACACTGTACTGTACAAGTGTACAGTACACTATTCAGTACAGAGTACAGTACAGTACAGTACAGTACAGCCGGTTCGGCGTATTTTTACTGCAGGACTCAACGGTACTGTACGTGCTGTAAACAGAAACAGCGACCCCTTTTTTAATAAGCAACTACTGAACATACTGTACCCATTTTTTGTGTGTGGTCGTTGATGGAACACGCCAATTGAACTTTATCGTTAGTCGGACGAAAAGGATCTACTAATCTAAGCGGCGAGCAGCTGAACCTATCAGAAATGAAGTTTCTATCCCTATTCCTAATTTTTTATAC